AATGGAACCAGCCATACTAACCATCTTACTAGTTGAAATTGTTAGCATGAAGTATGATACAAATACAGTAACTGTATAGTTATACCCTTCAAAATGGTTGCTGGACTTAAATCCCTCGATGATGTTCTCCAGAAGGCGCGCAATGATTATTCGCACCGATTTACCCTGAACCCCCGAACACCAGCACAGTCTCATTTTGGAGTGTCCATCTTTGGGGTTGGTTTGACTCACTTGCCCAAGGACGGCCTGTTGACCTTTTAGTTCCCCCTTGTTTGGTTCATGTTTGATCATGCTCCCAAAAGGTGAAGCTTTTCTTCCAGGTCCTTTGGCCAAGTAAAGTTGAACATCACCTTATAGGCGCGGAGTTGAATTGTTCTATCTCACCCAGATCACACCTGCCCCTGTGACACAACATGACACACTGACCTGTGTTAGCTTGCCTTCTGCGGCTGAAGTGCACACCTGATTTCTGCGAAGATTTCTGTTGGCCACAAAATCCGCCCCCACTGCGTTTGCTGGGGTCTAGCAATCTCCAGTGATTGCCCAAACGATGCAGGAGCTGGAAGCAGAAGAATCCAAGGCTCAGGAGACGGGGGGATGGCGCTGGACGTGAACAAGCTAAAATCACCGCAGCCACATGCACTAGGTTCAGAACAGGCAGAAACCACCATGCCTTGTTCCGGACGATCGACTCACTTCCGACAAACTCCTTCCCAACCATTTCGTTCCAGGCATCAAGTTCCCGACATTTTGTTCCAGACGTCTTGTTCCAAACATCTCGTTCCTGACTTGTTTCCGGCTGCAGACGTCTTTTCAGGATGCCAGTCTGTTCCATCCGCGAAATTCACACATCACATGCCATGAATTTGGATGGGGATCCGCTTGACAAGTGGGTGGAGCAAATTTCTCAGACTCCCCAAGTCAGAAATATGATACATGCGCCTTCACTGGCTTCTCTTACCCAGCTGCACAAAATAGGATTGTAAGGTTTGGTGAAACCTTTGAACAATCGATTTCTGTGGGCCTTCAAAGTACCTTCAGACAATCGCGGGATTAGCGATTGCATGTGAACGTGGGGACCGAGGCGATGGACTGAACAGAAGGCGAGTTGTCGTTCAATCATTTCAAAAACAAACACGTTCTTGCAAACACAAACCGGCAAAGGAAGAGGCAATTGGGTTTCTCCCTTTCCTCAATTTTCAGAAGCTACAAAGATTGTGCGGCCCTTCAAGAGGCAAGTTCCCTTTCTTGGAACTCTCACTGGATTTAGTTGGACCTACTAGATCTAGCAGCAAAAGTTGCAGTTTCATTGTAGCTTTGCAGACCTACCGGCAAAGGTTGCAGCTCCGTTGGACTCCAACGGCCGTTTCGTTGGCATTTGTCAGACGCACCAGCAAAAGTTGCAGTTTCACCGGTAAGAAACCTACCAGTGACTTCGTCAACTTTGAGGATACCAGTGTTTGAACGTAGCAAATGCCCAACCTGGTTCAAATGGGTGCGTGTTTTAAAGTTTCTTTTTGGTTTCCTTTTGAAGCCACCTTAAAAGGGGGGGGTTCTCAAAAGAAGAGCCCCGTGCGTCCTTCGACCCATTCCTCGATCGACTCACAGGAGACCTATCGTCAACTCCGGGCCTCCCTGGAGGCTCTCGGGTTGGAACCGTCCAAACCGCACGGCGGTTCCCAGTGCAAGCCGTGCGGTTTGCTTGTCTTAGTTGGTTTAGTTGTCTTAGTTGTCTTAGTTGGTTTAGTCAGTCCATTGAACCCAAAAGTTATTTTCGATCTGAGGACAATCCAGCATGGAACCTGATTGGGCGGGGAAGACTGTGTTCCCTAAGAGACCTCGCTTGAGGCAATTGAAGGTGGGCCCTCATATCTTGAGTCCAAGAGGCTGAGGGGCCCCGGGTCACAACTGCCTTTTCAGTGTCCCAAATTCCAAATGTCCAACAAGCAAGTGGTTTGGGGGGGGTGGCTCGCAGGGCTCCTTTTTAAAATGCAATTAGGGCGAAACAAGTTGTCAAGGCACTCAGTTGTTGGGCCTTGGAAGCGGCCGTCTTTCGACAACCCGCTGTTTGACTTCCCTTTCCACACCGTTGGGCTGTTTGTCAATGACACCCACGTTGTGTTTCTTTAGTTTAGATCTTGGGCTGTTTGATTCTGAAAACTGCCAGGTTTCGATGAAAACCATTGGTGCTGATTTCTTTGTATACACATGCCGCATTCGTGTTTTGGAAATGCGGGTTCTGCATTTTGAGACAAACCCATAGCGCCCGGCACCCTTGGCCTGGTTTGCCGTCTACAATATTTATGTACATAAACGTGGGGGCACCCGCCAAATGGATTTTGGTTTTCCCTTGGTTTCCCCTTACCGTCCCCGAGCCTCAAACAATAGAGACTCGTTGCATGTTTTTGCGCAAGGGAGATGCCTCTAATAGAAGGCACTTATTTTGGGAAGTCCCAAGCGCCCACCAGCGCCAACCTGCGCTGCGGCCCAGCAGCGCCAACCTGCGTAGCGCCCTGGTCAACTGGCGCTCCAACGATTCTCGATGTGACGGGGAACATCCCCAAGTCTGTTTCCCGGACACCTTTGTTGTGCGAGGGGGCTGCAGGTTCCTGAGGGTCAATTCGTACCTCAATGAGAGCGTCAGCACGTGGCGCTGCAACGCCTCAATCAATGACTTCCTCAGGTTCTTATCCTGCTACTTTAAACTGAGATATGGGTACGGCTGTTTTGAGGATCCTCCTTTTGGAGTGGCTGTAGGTTGTACAAGGAAGCGACACGGACACCCGTGCCATTTTTGTGGGGTCCCCTATTTTAAGACCCGTTGTCATCTTTTCGAGCCAAACGTGATTTGAGACGCCCATGTCCTGGCCAGGGAAAACAATAAAAGATACTCTGTAGAGCAGCAGAAGGGGCCCACAAAGTCTAAAAGTATGTTTTTTGTTCGATTTCATGTTTCAGGTAGCTCTCAGTTGATGGTTTTGATTGACGGTTTAGGATTTGAACCCTTGAGGAAGGAAACTGGGAAACCACCCCTAACCTCCAAGCCACTGAGTCAAATCACAAGTTTGAGGGAAGCTGAATGCAATTCCGAAGGAGTTTGGGTTGTTCCTCCTCGCGCATGGTTGTGGACTATTTGTGTTCGGGTCACTTGGCTGTCGGGAATGCATGTTTTCTTATGTTTTGGACCTATGACCTGTTTTTTTCTGCTCTGTTGTTCCTTTGTGTCCAAAGGACAACAACATACAAAACTGAAATGCAATGGATCAGCCCTGCCCCCCCACAAAAAAAACTCTAGAGACTCTAGAGAAACAAAAAGCACAATCTTCAGACACTCTTTCTAGAAGTAGCCGCTCGCTGGGCCAATAGTTCTGAGAGAATGTTGTTGTGTTGTGTTGTATCTTTGTTGTTTTCCCGGTTTTGGCTTTGGCCAGGGCTGATCCAGTGTTTGCTTTGTGTTGAAAGGAGTTCCTGCTTACAATTCCTGATCAAAATGAAAGTCTGAGTTGAACTCTGTTTGGATTGACTGTGTTTAAATGTTTATTGATTTGTAAAGACAGCTGTAGTGGAAAGACATGTAAACTCAAATTTGAAATAGAAACAAATCTAATAAAACATCAAGTTTGCAATATGAAGTCCAATTGTATTCCTTCCCCATTGAATTCTATCTCAACTCAAATTGAATTGTCAAGTTCTGTTTGGCAGGGAATTTCTGCTTATCTGAATTCCAAATTTAAGATCTTGCTCACAATTCCAGTTTAAATTTGAAATTCAAGTTCAACTCAAGTTGAATTGTGTTTAGATACTAACTGATTTGTAAAGACCATGCTACTGGAAAGGACATCCAGTGTTAAATTGAAATAGAGTATGTCTATGTCATTTCTAGTTCTAAATATACAGTCGATTGCATTAACTCCTTATCAAATCATATGTAAACTCACGTCGAGGTGTAAAGCTCTATTTGGCAAGGAATGTCTATCTCAATACGTACTTCCTTATTAATCCTGACTGAGTTCTATCCAATTTCTGAATTTTATGAGCGGCCGTTGGTGGAGATAGTATGAAAACCGCTGCAAAAAACATTGTTTTACGGTGTTTTCTGTCAATGCCAGTACCGGTTTTTGGACCTCTGAATTCTCTCCTTATGACATCATATTTACTATACTTGCCAAAGTCTACTCGAATTATATCTGACCTTAAAACATAATTCAACAAGGAATGAATCCAACCAGGATTGCTACTTTAAATCAGAAGGTAGATATTGATTGGTCTATGTCTATGTCAAATCAAATTTGACACTGGAATTCCTTTCCGATGTCATTTTCTTCACACATCAAATAAGATTAAGACACAACTTAAACCGAGCTCAACATAAGCAAAGAAAGTGCAAACACTAGATACAGACTTGCATCTGCCACAGTCCCCTGCCCTCTTGAACATCTGTAGACAACTAGTTCTTGCACAAAATCCTTTTGGTTTCCCTGCAAAGCAATTGGGCCGAATCGAATCGGGGGTTCCCCTTCCCCCCCCCCCCACGTCAGCGCGTCAGCCCGCGAGTGCCAGGAGAGGGAGGCGATGCTGGACTCGCTGCTGCGGCCCCGCCTCCATGCCTTGGAGCTCGAGGCGCTTGCCGAGCGACAAGAACAAAACACAAACCATAGTTTCACCATTTGAGGCGACAACAACAAGGAACACCACCATTTTTTGGAGGGGGGTGCGCCTATTTTGACATATCGCCTATTTGCCATGACAAAAGCACTTTTCTCAGCTGTTTCAATGCGTCATCAGCCTGCATCCGGCGGTTAGGGGTGCAACCTACGAGGGACTCTGTTGGAGGGTCTTTTCAACGATCTCCCAGACATCCGAAACAAGCCAAAAGTCCCATGTTCCAAGCAGATGCCGGTCAAAAGGATCCACAACGCGAACCACCGATTGATAAACGTGTGGAGTTGTTGTCTTTTCTTGATTCTGTGAAAACCCGTTGCACAATCCAGGGCAACATTCAGCATACAGTGTATTGCTGCCAAGTCCAGTTGAGCAGCCTGTGCCCCGGTCACACCACATTGTACAATATTTTAGGTCGTCGCAAATCATCTAATCTGGCCTTGAAGCTTGGCAAGCTGACAGGCTTGGCCCACACGATGCCGGGGCCTCCGCCAAAGCTATTTTATATTTTAGGGTAGACTAAGTATGAAGTGGAATCAGAAATATGTGTTTGCTGTGTACCGCATATGTGAGCCAAGACACAATTCAACTATGGTTGCAGTTTGGGTGGACAAGAAAGTGACGGGGGGATTCTCACGGTCCCCCACTCTCTTGTCTTTTTGGGGGGTGGTGCCTCCCATTGGAGACAAGCCCATGTTCTGAGCAAGTATGTTATGAGGGTAGATCCAAAGCAGATGCCAACTCGTTCTTGCAGTTACATGCTGTGGGTGACGAGCGGTGTTGGTGGTGAGTTGGTTGCAGGCACGTCATGGGAGAATCATGACGATGCGCCACACAAGGCGATCATAGCACATATGACACATATGAGCAACGATGTGGGTACCGTGGTTTTTCTGCAGTAATTCGAGGACATCGTGCGAAATTGGGTAGCTTGCCAACATGCAATGCAACCACTCGAGGGTGCAATGAATATTGCGTGGCTCGTATCAAAGCTAGCACCATCAAATCATTCCTTTCAAAATGCAAGGCAAGCTCACAGTCTGTGAGGTACAATGAGCTTCCCTAGGCATGCGATCCTAGAATTCAGGATAGTCGAGCCGCCTCAGTACAATATTGCCATCTTTGCAGGGCCAGTTTTGTCCTTGGGCGCTGACATTAACCGACTTTATAGGTGATCTTTCACTATGCCATTGACTTCTGGATGTGTTTGAACTATCACTTTGGGTACATCCCTGCTTGAACAGCCAGCCTGTTTTTTTTCGGGCAAACATGAGGCTGCCTAAACCTAAACCCAGACCTGTGCCCCTCCTCTCTTGGAACCTTGAGACCTTTCTCGTGGCAAAACAAAAAGCATAGGTGTGTCTTTTTTAAGGGTCCCTTTTGGCAGCTGTTGTTTGGGAAGCCAACAGGAAAACTGAAGCCATATTTTTTGGCGGGGGTTCAACCCAAAACATGAAACACCCATATGGGTTTGTCTCAAAGTGAGGTTTCTCTTTCGTTGCCGGGTTAAACTAGCCCCCAAAAGGGAGCCCTCGAAAAAGGACACACCCATAAGAACCTACACAACCAGCTTAGAACCCAATGGGTTTTGGGCGTTTGCCCCATGCGAGGCCGCCAGTGGATCGCAAGACGTCGCCCTTGAGAAAGCTGAAGAGGACTGCTCGAGCGCAGCTGGGGAAAAGCCCAAAGACGGTTTTCCTCGTTCCCTTAAGCCAACCCCCAAAAGAGAGGCTCCGAGGCTCCTGAAGATGGGTTTCCTCTGGGCCTTGCGGGGTATCCCCTTCAGGCGGCACCTTGGGTGGCACCGGTCGGTGGAGTCTTGCCGACCGATTTCTGGAAGGGTTGTGTCAGATGGCCCATTCCAAACACGTGCATCAGGCTTACCCCGTTGTTGGCACAACTTCGCTGCGCAATCTAAGAACACTAGGTTCCTTTGGGTGGACGCCACTTGGGATAAATGAACCCCTACAAACAATACGGAATAATAGGACAAAACACGTACCAACTGGAACAAGATGTTGTCCACCTGCAGTAGGTCAGTTTGGTTGAAATGGATGGCACCGGTAGGTTCGCTCATGATTTGCAAGAGCCATCTATTCTTTCCAAAGGACACAAATGCCGAAAGCGCAGTGTGGCGTGACCGCGAAGAATCCGATGCAGACGCTTTAGGGTCACCGCCCCACAAAGACCACCCCCATCCGGGCAACACCAGCTACTTTGGAGGGGTGGCTTCCCTCTACAACACCAATTAGAGTTTAGTTTTGAGGATGCAGCCTTGGACCCAGCAATCCCCTTGGTCCAGGATTAGTGTGTGTGTATTTGTGCGCTTGTGTGTTTGTATGTTTCTGTGTTTCTGTTTGTTAGTGTTGTGCTTCTGTTTCACTGTGTGGTTGCGTTTTTTCGGTGTTTCTGTGTTTGCAGGTGCGAGGTTGCACGGTTGTGTGGTTTTGTGTTTGTGCGGTTGTGCGGTCGTGTGGCCGTGTGCTTGTGTACTTGTGCGTGTGTGTGTGTGTGTGTGTGTGTGTGTGTGTGTTTCTATGTTTCTGTGTTTCTATGTGTCTGTGTCTGTGTTTCTATGTTTCTGTGTTTCTGTTCTTGTGTATGCGCATTTCTGTGCATCTGTGTTTTTTGTCTTTGTGTGGGTGCGTGGGTGCGTGTTTGTGTGTATTTGCGTGGTTGCGTGGCTGTGTGGTTGTGTGTTTGTGTCTGTGTTTCTGTGTTTTGTGTTTTGTGTTTTGTGTTTTTTTGTGTGCTTCTGTGTTTCTGTTTGTGTGTCTGTGTTTCTGTTTCAATGTGTGGTTGTGTTTTTTGTGCGGGGGTGCGGGGTTGTGTGTTTCTGTGTTTCGGTGGTTTCTGTGTTTTTGTGTTTGTGGTTGTGTGCTTTTGTGTCTGTCGGGTTTGGTGTGTGTGCGTGTGTGTGGTGCTTGTGTGTGTGTGTGTGTGTCCGTGTGCATGTCTGTTTTTGGGTGGGTGGGTGGGATACTGGGCTGGAAGCTGATTTATGCTTACAGTTCGAAGCCCCTCACCATGGCTGTTGCCTTGCAGCATGAGCGTCTGGATGTGAACATGAATGTCTCCGGGGCACTTGAGACAGGCCGACCCTTTAGCCCACGGGCTGGAAGCGGAGCAGGGCACCTGACAAGACAGAACTTGGAGGTTCGGGACACTCCCAACCAGTGCGGATATCCCTTCTTTACATTCCGTAGATCTGTTTAAGAACTCAGCGGATGCATCAGCCCCCCTTTACACAGCTTGTTCCCCTACACCGAACAGAGGCTTGGGTTATGTAAGAACCCTTCATGGCATTTTGTGTGACTTTCCAACCCGCAGGCAGCCCAGTTGGAGGCTCGACTGGAGCGAGAACACCGGGAGGCCCGGTGATGGTGAGACACACGTGCGAGTTCTTTTGAACGTGCGTGTTTTGGTGTGGTTTTCCCCCGGGACATCTATATTGGAAACCACGTATAACAGGGAATCCCTTGTTTAGCACACACCCACGTGTTCTCATATAGGGTTTGGTTAGAATTAAGTAGTCTATGGTGCGGGTCTACTCATGACCGTTTTCATGGTAAGGCCTAAATGTCAGAGGCACTGGTCAATTGAGCCTCAATCAAGACCCGTTGAAGTATAAGGGACAGTCGCTGGAAGTTGCGGAGATCCGATCAGTTCTGTGCACAGACTCCTGGAAGATAACGTTCCTTTCTGTTTTGAAGAGGGTTCCTGTGCAGCAAGCTGGGGCGGTGCCTCGCTTGTGACGTCAGTTTTTTCTCGCCTGTGACTGGACTATCTCGCTTGTGACGGCACATAATTGGTCACGTAAAACATCGTAAATTACAGCGTTTTTGTGGAAGGGGGGGGAGGGGCATGGCGACCCTGGGTGTGGTTTTGGGGCAAAAGCGTCGGTTGTTAACTTTGTCGCAAGTGAGTGCCATTTGTTGTGTGGTGGAAACACAATGATTGTTCGGTGTTCGCATGTAGTTTTGGCCCGGTGTTCACAACTTGTCCTGATCTGCTTGAAGTTTTGGCCCGGTTCCGAGCACAAGCACGGCACAACCCTACACCCTAAACCCTAAAACCCTAAACCCGCCAAACCCAAGAGCCTAAACCCTAAACCCAAACCCAGAATCCTAAAACCTACAGTGATGCGAGCCAAGCCCAAAAGCCTAAAATCCTAAAGCCTAAAGCCTAAAGCCTAAACCCAAAAACCTAAAGTGATGTAAGCCAAACCCAAGAGCCTAAACCCTAAGCCCAAACCCAGAACCCTAAAACCTACAGTGATGCGAGCCAAGCCCAAAAGCCTAAATCCCACAGCCAAACCCAAAAGCCTGGTTTAAGGAGCAGGCAGCACGGGCTCAGTTGAGCGGGTGTATCATGCCCCCCCCCCCAAACCCCCCCCCCCCAAGGAAGAAAGAGACTGTGTGGCGAATCGTCGAAGTGAGTCAGGTGATGTGGCGGGCAAAATGATGGCAACATGCATGTCATCACTTCAAAAACGCGTGGCGCGAATGTTGTCGCAAGTGAGTCAGGTGGATGCGCGAAACCTGCGCGCGAGCACACTTCTGGAAAGTGCGTAGTCGCGAGTGAGTCAGGGTTAAGTCGCGAGTGAGTCAAATTAGGTGAATTCGCAAGTGAGTAAAAACTTGTGTCGCAAGGGAGTGCTTCCCCGTGCAGCAAGCTGTGCTTCTTGTGGGGAACTGTTGACATCTCCTCCCTCCCAACCCGGAATCCATTAGAAGGCCCCCTGAGGAAAGCTGCCTTCCAGGGGCCTTTCAGTCATGTTGCGTGTGGGAAGGGTAAGCATCTGCATGATCACCCACTTTACTTTGGTTTCAACGTATTCCCCATTCCACTGGGCGTGTGCTTCTTTGGGAGTGCCCCATGTTTGTGGTTTTCAAAAGGAAGCCAAGAGGAACGCCACCATTTTGGCGGGCTCCCCTGAAAGAACAAACCCGTGCAAGCTCCAGACGAGAGGCCGACAGTCTGGTTTGAACCTTGAGGCCACAGAGGGCGCGGAGGCGACGGGCCAGGAGTTGCAGAAGGTGACTCAGTCCTGTGACCAAGGCGCGGAATTCTGAGACTTGGAACCCGGGGCAAAATCGGTTTTAACACCTGGTTCCCTTAAAGAAGCCAAAAGGAGGTGAGGCAATCCGCAAGATCCTTAACGCAAGGAGTTGGTCCCAACAAGTGGCTCCCCGGGGATGAGGGATTAGGATTGGCCAGCCACAAATTGATTGCCTACAGTTGGAACACCCTCAAGCAAGACCCAATGCAAATGAGGCCCACCGGACGCCATTTCAACATGTGAGTTGAATTCGGGGCGGTCTATAGCCGGCCTGGCTTCCTTGGGTACTCCCGAGTACAACTGAGGTCCTGACCCGGGCTGAACAAGGTTCCACGCTGACCACAAGGCTTGAACTCAAACGGGCTTTTCTCTTTGGGAAATCCACCACCCCTTCAAGTCTGACTTGGGGTCAAAGAATTGAATGAGTTTGACGACGCATGCATAGAAGGAGTCTGCAATGGCCGCAGATTCTGGTACGTGAGCCTTGTTCCACACGCTTGCTTGAGTCCCTTTGCGATTCGCCACAACGGGTTCTCTCAACATGAACTTGTTTGTAAAAGGTTGCATGTTAATTGCTTGCAGCATTTCGCGAAATCGCCATGGCCTTTGGCATCCGTCGTCGTGCTTCGCTTTTGGCACTGGCGCTGGCAGCGTCTGTTTGCTTCATCGCTTCTCCCGGTCCGCCCGCACCGCCCGCGCCGCCTGCGCTTGCGCGCAATGTGGCGGGTCTCGCGGTGTCGGGGCTGGCGCTGGGTTTCTCAGAGGCTGCGTCAGCAGAACCAGGCGCCGCCTTCTCTCTGTTCGGCAAAAGCTCTGCAGAGCTCTTCCCGGTCTCCAACGTCACTGGAGGTAGCACATATTCTTAGTTTCCCGAAAAGGACACTGAACATGGGATGGACATTTTGTCTCACTCCCTGAATTTCTGGTTTTTGGGAGTGGTGAACAAACAGTGTGACCTTTTTTGGGCCACTCCACGTGAGATGTTGACAGTCACCTAGGTGAGCTTGCTCACTTGGCTGCTGCTGATTTTCGCCCCCGGGTGGGAATATTTGAAATCAGCCGCTCTTGTGGCACCGGTGATCAATGCCCTGCTCTACACCGTCTCGGTGACCTACCTGTTGGCGCACCCTGCGCCTGGTGACGCAGGGCTGGATTTCGGATCCCTGGGATCCATTGTGGCGGCATTCCAAAGTCCCGACGCGGTGTCCCAGCTAAAACAATTTCCGAATTCGACCCTTGTTTCCTTTTTCGAGGGAAGTATGTCCCGTATGTGTTCCTTTCACATCAACCCAGAAAAGATTTGGTGCCCTTGTCAAATTTCTGCCATGGGCGGAGGTCTTGGCCGGGTGGCTGCACTATTGCGTCTTCGACCCCTTGGTGGGCTTGGGTGAAGTGCTGGATAGCCAGAAGAACAAGATACCGCATGTCCTGGTGGTGCCTTGCTTATTGCTCACCCTCTTCTTTGGACCAATGGGCTTCTTGCTCTACCTGTTGGTTAGGACACTGACCTTGTCCCGGAGCGATGGACGGACTGCATGAAGCCGCGAGCCTTGGCCTCATTTGGCTAAACCATGGGGCCCGCCTCGTCAGAAATGAAAGAAGGTTCTAAGCAGCTTCGTCGCTGATTTCCGACTTCCCGTCTTGCTTTGAGTTGGCACCTCTTTCGGTTGAAAGGGAAGTCGTGGAAACAGACGGTTTTGACGTCAAGTTTGGGGTTCCATATCCCATTTAGGACACAAGCCACATTGACGCTGCTCATGATGCCCACCTATCCGAATGGCAGCTTGCGGCCGCGAGCAGAGCTTCTCCGGTTCGAAGCCAAAAAGGCCTCGGCCGGCCTATCCAGCAAAGAGCGAGCAAGATGCGTCGAGACAAACAAGCGACTGTCCTGAATGTGTCAAACAGCTGAATCGCCTGTGTTGATGCTTGCGGGGAAGCCAAAGCGAAACAAGTTCTTAGGGGTCCATTATTTTGAGAAACACCCACGCGCACTTGGCGATTGAGATTTGCATTTAGTTCTATCTTCTTACGCGAGTTGTTGCAATGCTTGCCGCACTTCCCTCTTGCCCTCCTGCCTTTTTGATCGCCTTCCGTGCCAACCCGTCACCTCTGGACTGTTCAAAGACTATCCTCATAGTGGTTGTCTAACAGGGATGAATCATTAGGATTCGCCAACTCTCCATTTTGAACAGCCCAAATCAATGCTCGAGGAACAGTTCTGCAGGGGGGAAGTCAACTCTGGAGGGGGACATGACTTGATGTTCAAGTGTTGGATTGTTCCAAGATTGGCCCCCGGCTGCGTTTGTCAACCGACTGTAATACTCAATTGGGCATACCAAGAAAGTCACAAAGCCCAGGGTGCTCTAGAAAACGGTTTGGATGCGCTTTTTTGTGGATTTTGCACAATGGCACCACCACCCCTTTTTCAGATCCCTTTGAAAGTACCACACATCGTGGCAACCCTCCAAGATAGCCGTGGGCTTGAGAGGCCGTGCCGCGCTGGAGCAGTTGCTCGCGGAGGAGCAGCGGTGCACAGACCAGGCGGCGCAGGCGGAGTCAGATTTTCAAACCAAGAAGCCAAGAGTATAATTTTTGATTGCTGCACTTGGCTTCACAGGCTTTCTGGTAAGGTTTATACAAACACCCTTACAACTTTTGGAATGATTGTAAACTATTCATTGCAGACGGTTGATTTTCCAGGGTTCCAATAGAAGGTGGGGTTCTACCTGGTCTAATTGGGGGTTGTAGTAAAGCCAAGAGAAAAGCCCTTCATAACCATAGAAGCAACAGTTAGCTCAGGTGAAATAGTCACTGCTTTGGGTTTAACCAGGCCGTGGACCGCTTAGGGAAACCTGCAGGTTGTTTCTTTGATAGGAGTTTTCACGTAACCGTGGTTGACATTCACCGTCTCCTACAAAATGATGTGATAGGGTAGACTAGACATGGGCCAAAAACTGCACAACTTACGTTTTGTGCCCAGGTTTGGGCCAAGGAACGAGGAATTTGGAAAGGTTTGGGGAGCAGCCAGATGGGGATGACTTATGACCAGCCACCGAATCTTGAAATACCTGTATTGTGTGTGTACATACTTGCATAGATATTGATATAATTGTGTGCTATTTCATGGATCTCTGCATTCACAAAATGTGGTTGCCAGAATCAGACGCTATATAAATGTGCATTGGGGGCGAAAGCCAAGGTGCTCAGCTTTAGTCTTTGGGCCAGACTGGCACATCGGTATTCACATGTGCCATGATCAAAAGTCCCTTTATTTCAGATTGCCTATTGGAAATTAACGCATTGAAAGTGTAAGGGTTCCCGTATATCCTGGGGAGGGACTTCCGTGACTCGCATCAAATGACACCTGCAGGCCCCCGAGTGGTTGGTTCCCCGATGCGAACAGTCGGGGATTTCAATTGGGCACAGGTGTTGTGAGCTTAGGGCTTGCAAGAATATTTTGCCCCGCAAGCCAGGCCTGGGCCTGTTCCATTTTCGGTGAAACAGCTGTTACAATGACAAGTCGCGCAGTCTCGTAGGATAAGGTGGACAGAGCCCTTCGATCTTTTGCGACCAATTACTGACCAACTTGGACGCCACCAGGTGCTCCAAGAGGGTTCACAGAGAGCTGAGAACATGTCCCCAGAAACTTATTTTCTCGCTGAAATCGGAGTCCTCGTCAGCACATCGACTGGAGCTCATCCTCACTTTATCCTGAATTTACCGGAACCCAAACGGGATACCAGGTGTGTAGCATCCGAATGCCACTTCATTTGTACCCATAATCATGGGTCACCTACATTTACTCGCAACTAACCCCACATTTGGCCGGATGCTCATTTAGTCTTCCAGTGAATGATTTGGAGGCCATTGTGGACTCCGCCACATGCTTTTCCCTGTCTGCTGCCTTTTTTGTATGTTACCAAATGAGAATTAATTACCCTTGTTTGGTCCACAGAAACTGTACCCTGGATTTATCTCTGGGTCCAATGGGCCTTTGTGCAATAAGAGGAGCTATCAAAGTTGCCTTGGCGATTTGCCCTCACCATTTCAGTTTGCGGGCTTTGAGGATGTCACAAAAAATGATATCAACCCCCCCCCCCCTGGTTTGGTGTGGATATGCAATTTGAACCCCTGTTTCTTGTGGGATTGGGGCTTCCCACCTAAAACCACACCCCCAAACCACATGGCTACCTGCAAGGCCAGCGTGCGGGTGGATCAGCTGGCCGCAGAGCACGCCACCCACGAGACCAAGAAGGCGAAAGAAAGCAAGAGTGGTTGCTTGATATGAATCCCCAGAACATGGTGTCCGCCAAAAGCATCATGAAACACATCACACCCGTGCGGGGTGTGTCTTTGTTTGAGGGAAGCTTTTGGGGTGGTTGAAGGGAAACCAGATGGAACACACTCTTCTTTGGTGAGGTTCCCCACTTAGAGACATACCCAACTGTTCACCGAACATGTTATTTCCCGTGTCACCTGGGGGTTGGCCAAGTTCAGCGTCTCGTTTCCCCGTTTTCTTGCAGAGAACGTGCCAGAAGATGTGGGTCTGTCATATTTTTGAGGGTACCCCTTTTTTTTGGTTTCAAAGGAACCACAAAATAGGAGCGCCACTATTTTGGGGTCCCCGGGAGACAACAACACCTATGTTATTTGTTGTTAATTTTTTTTCCGGGGAAGGGTGCTTATGTCGGTGGTTTAAACATGGTTTCCTCTTCCCTTTGCAGTTGCCCCATCATGCACCTCACCCAGCCAGGCATTCGTTACACCCTTTGCTGGCTTTCCCTTTGGTCCAGTGACCCAAAAATGTACTTTTGTGCAAGCTTCTTGGCTTCCCCTGTAGCGACCCCAAGTGAGTTGCCGAGGCGGAGGTGGACGCCAAGCTCCGTGGGCTCGCGGCAGCACCTGCGGAGGTCTTTGCGGGGGGGGGGGGGGTGGGGAAGGTGTCTTTGGTGAATTCGAGTCCCGGATTTAAGACCCCTGGTTGATTCATTGTCCCCAAAGTGGGAATCCGCATCACTTGAAGGACAATCTGGAGTTTCCATTAGGTGGATTGGTGGTTTCGATGTTGAGCTTCTAGAGGGTGAATAGGAATGACCCGAACGCCTCCAAACCACCAGTCCAAACCAGCCTTTTTTGTGGGGGGTGGGTGGGTTCTCATTTCTCCGCTTTGGGGGGCGATGGTGTTGTTTCTTGCTTTTCCGCTGGACAGGGCTGGGAAGTGGGTGTGCCTTGTGGTGGCTTTGGAGCCTTTTTGGGGCGTTTTGCACGTCGTCTCTGGGGAGGTCCTTGGGGAAACCCATCTGCGGCCCCTGGCCCTCGCAATGTCTTATATAATTTAGTCAGATTGTCTGGAAGATGTTGCTGGGGGTGCCTTTGTGGGGGGGGGGGGTGTAGATGTGTTTGGGGAAGGCGGGTCTATGGATGTGTTCTTTGGTATGTTTGTTGGGATTTTTCTCACATATGCTAGATTGCATTGCAGTTGTTTGCATTTGGGCTCGTAGCCTCTATCTGGTTTTGAGGAATTGAAACATCCACATTGGGTACGCCGCAAATTTCCAGGAAGTCAGGCGAACGTGGTGTGGGAAAATGCACCTTTTCCTCTAAGTGAGGCGTTCCCCCAAAATGGGAATTATGGTTTCGCTCGAGTTTCCAAGCCTGGACAAAAATCGGGCTCCTCTTTGGCCTCGAGAGACAAAACCCAAGCCGCTTTCAACCACCCCACCCAACACCCCTATCCCCTTGTGCGACAATAAACGGTGCACGTTGGTCCTTTGCTTCTATTAGAGGAATCTATACACGCTGGAATGCCTATACTCTTGAGTCCTATCCCTCAGGAGGCGCACGCAGCAAAGGTCCTTTATATCGATGTCTTGAGGGTGACAAATGAGAAGAATGTGGCGTCAAGGAAAGATTGCTTGAAGGTGAATCACGCAGGCTATTTTGACTTGAAAACTGCTGTGGTTCGTAGACCGCGAATTCTGTCTAAAAATGTGATTGGTGCAAAAATAAACATCCGTATGTGTCTTCGGCTGTGTGAACAGATTGCCCGCCTCATGCATCTACTCAGACGATGGCGTATGTAAAGGTGGTCATATCTATGTGGTATCAAGAGCACTTGTTGGCTGAGGTGGCATTAGTTGTTGAATCCATCATCGTGCCTGCGGGTTTCTCTCTTTTGAATTGAGCTCCAGGAAGCAAGGTTGCTGCGGTCGTCGGAAACAAATGTTCACTTCCAGAAGTAATTACACCATGTGCCTTGTTGAGGCAAATTCTTGTGGTTGTAGCTTGAGAACTGGACGCCTCGTGTTCTGCCACTAAGTTGATCGGTTTCCCTGCATGTCCCATCTGCCTGCCTGTTACAGCAGCTCTCCATCTGATGACAGCTTCCTGTTTCAGAAGAACCTGCTCCGCTACCATGTAGGAGTTTGTTGGACGTGCCTGGAATTCTCTTGAGTCCTATCTCTAGGAGGCGCATGCCGCAAAGGTCCTTTACATTGATTTCCTGGGTCTGACAAATGACAAAAAGGCCTTGAGCCAAATGTGGCGTAGAAAGTGCTTGAAGGTCAATCACTCTGCAAACACAGAACATCCCCCCTTGTCGCATAGGTTGAGCAATGCCGACAGCTCACCAAGCCACAGTTGGCGTGGAGACTCAGTGGCCAAATTTGGCGCTCAGGTGGATGGTCAACCTCCATTGCGTTGGTTTAAAGGGAAACCAAAAGGAACGACGATCTTTTGCGAGTGCAAATAGTTTGACACACACACACACACTCCCACAGTTGCTTCAATCAAGCAAGCTTGGTTGGTTTGAAGCCAACATGTAGTCAGTCATAGCACACCAGATTACACCGACCTCACCTACAAAGGTTCCTTTGAGAAGGTGTTCTTGCGTTCCGCTGTATTTGCCCAGAATAGTGGTCTGGCAACCAGTGATCTCTTTGAACGGGGAACCCAAAGGAAGTTGTTCAAGCAACTATATATACATATATATATATATATGTTGTCAGGGGTTCACAAGCCCCCCCCAGAAGGTTGCCAGTGCGTTCTCCTACCTGTGTGACCTATGACCATGGGTGTGGTTGGGGAGGGGCGGGGGTTCGGGGCGCTGCAGTTTGAAAATACACAATTTAAAAAGCTGGAGTTCACCTAAATATAAACACACACACACAAACAAACAAACAAACACCCCAATGGAGTTAAACCGGACTCCCACAAGGACACCAAAATCAGGAGGCCGCACCCCAAATAAGAAGTTCAAATCCCCAAGAATCCCTGGTGATGCAGCTGGTCTCATTTTGTCCATGCTGCTGCACCTAAACCTTGCTGACATCTGCTTTCCATTTGCTTTGTAATGCCAAGAAACGCTGCCAGTGCCAGCTTTGAACTAGTACCAGCACAAACAAGCGTCAGCCAACACGAACATCAGCTCCCTGAAATCCAAGAATGTGTGTTTTTCTGAAAATGCAATTTCTGGATTAAATTCCCTTTCAACAGGTGATGATTTGAGAAGGTGACATGAGGTACCCCACACGAGTACCCAGCCCATGTCAATAATATGGGGTCCACGTGTTGTTAATCTGGCCCCCCTCAGGCCCGAAAGCAAAATCCACATCCAGCTTTGTGCTCACTAGCACTTGTATACTGGCACAGCCATGAAGCATTGCCAACCAAGCACAAACATCACCAGCCAGAACTCTTATCAAACCCCTTTCGAAAAGTTATTCACATGAGGTACCCCACATGAGTGCCCAGGCCATGCGAATAATGTGGGTTCACATGATATAAATTCGGGCCATTTGGGCCGCACCCAATTTGGAGCTCCAGCAATACTAAAATGTGAAATTCCACAATACTACTTGAACTGGACACTCAAACCAAAATCAAGAAGACATGATCCAGCAATACTAAATCAAATGGATAATGAAATCCAAAAATACTAAATCAACCGGACAGTCAAATCAAAACTCAACTGGAATTTCCAGCAATAGTAAATCTGGACACTCAAATCAAATTCAAAAGGAAGCTCAAGCAATACTAAATCAAATGGAAACAGGACCAAAGCTCCTTTTGGAATTCATCCGGAGTTCTGGGATCCTCGCTCCCAATTCTAAAGAGTAGTATTGCGAAATAGTAAAGTAGTATTGCCAGTACTGAAGTACACATCGAGGCTTATTTCAGTGTCAGGTTTCTTTTGGAGCCCGAAAGCCTTCTCGACCTTCTCCGGGGGGGGGGGGTGATGATTAATCCGATGTCAACAGTATACACATTCTACGCGGCACACGTACACACGCACACACACACACAGACAAACACACACAAACATACAAACACACGAGCACACACAAACACATAAACACACAACCACAAACACAAACACTAAAACACTAAAACACTAAAACTCGCAAACTCGCAAACTCGCAAACACACACACACAAGCACACACAAACACACACACACACAGACAGACACACACACACAGACACACAGCACACACAGACACACGCACAGACACACACACACAGACACACACACACAGACACACACAGACACACACAGACACACACACACACACACAAACACACAAGCACACAAACACACGAACACACAAACACACAAACACACGAACACACAAACACACAAACACACAAACACACAAACACACAAACACACAAACACACAAACACACAACCACGCAAACACACAAGCACACAAGCACACAAACACACAAACACACGAGCACACACAAACACACAAACACACAAACACACGAACAAACAACCAAAGAAAGAAAGAAATAAACAAAGAAATCAAGAAAGGAAGAAACAAAGGAAAGAAGGAAAGAAAGAAAGCAAGAAACACACAAACAAACACACACAAACAAACAAACAAACACACAAACAAACAAACGAACCAACAAACAAACAATCAAACAAACAAACAAACAAACAAACAAACAAACACACACACACACACACAAACACACACACACACAAGCATGCAAACACAACGCACACACAAACACAAACACAAAAACACACAAACAACGACTCAGACACAAACACACAACCACACAAACACACAACCACACAAACACACAACCACACACACACACAAAACACAAACACTCACAAAGAACACAAACATAACAACGCACACACACACAAACACAAACACACACACACAAACACAAACACACAAAGACACACACACACAAACACACACACACACACATTCACACACACACACAAACACAAAACCACCACCACACAACAACACACAAAACCACCACCACACAACAACACACAACAACACACACACACAAGCAAGCAAAGGCAAACAAACAAACAAGCAAACAAACAAACAAGCAAACAAACAAACTTCCAAACAAACACAAACAACCAACCAACCAACCAAACAAACAAACACACACAAACAAACACACAAACAAACACACACACACACATGGGCATACAATTACTGTGGCCAGTGGCCAGTCATGGACGTTGACGGGCAGTGGATTTTGGTTTTACAAGGCGACCTGAAACCGCCTATCAGAACCTACACTGGGTCTCCAAAGAAACAAAACCTCAACGCCTTTTCTTTTCTTGCCCATTTTGTGGGCGTGTCAGGGCTGAAGCCTTGGAAAAGGAGAACCTGTCGGCCAAACGGGGCTGCCTGGTTTCAATGCTCTGTGCGTTTGTTCAGATTGTTCAGGCTGAATTGACGTGCAAGAGGATTTTGGGAACACAAGAGGATTTTGAGAACACTTTTTTTGTAGTTTGGATTAGCGGCTTGAAGATTTGAGCCCCTGGTTCTTGCAGAGGGTAAATTGGAAACTACTCGTAACCACCAAACCGCAAATCTAAACGATTTCCTGCCAGTGTTTATTTAATTTGTCTAGAGACGTAGAGGATAGCTTGGCATCCATGCCATGCTTCCAGGAAATGAGGTCATGACCTTGCCGAGCGTAGATGTTGGAAAGGAATTTGCTGTTCGGCAGTTGCAAGAGCTGCGAATTTATGTCAGTTTCTTCACGTATCGTGTGGCTCGCATGTTCAAGTGATAAATGTGGGTAAGTATGCCCAGGATTGTTTGGGATGCGAGGAACCAGGGCATACCTGATCGCGGTTGTTCACCCTGCAGACCGCGCAGCTGTTTTAGCTTCGAGCGCCATCAGCAGGCTTGTGCTCAGCGCGTGGCTGACAGTGTGATGGGGTTCCAGTCCGCAGATGCACTCAGGCCGGGGCAAATGAAAACGGTTGTGGAGTAGCCTTTGCGACAGATTTCGCCCAAGATTAACGAATCGGGATCCCATTTTTTACTTTACAGAAGTATCATTCACCCATGACATCAGCTTTGAGGCGCAGCGCTTCGGCAAACTGAGGTGCAGAGTACGCGGCTGGCGCATGCTTCATTTTCGTTTGGTGATCAGATTGAGTGGCAGGCTCAACACTTGGCCAGCCTGTTTTTTGCAACGCTGGCATGGATGTGTCGCACATCCCGTGGTGCAGCACTTTTGCATGGTCAAGTGCAAAGTTCCTGGCAGGCGCAGCGCTTTCGCACGGTGCGGTGCAGATTTTGTGGCAGGCGCTGCGCTGCAAGGTCACCTGCAGATTTCGCTGCGGTATGCGCGGCACTTTCGCAAGGTCACAGGCGCAGCGCTTTCGCAAGATCAGGTATAGAGTTTGGTGGCAGTTGCAGCACGGTCAGGGAAGGACTTGCGCCCGCAGCGCTTTCAGGAGATAGGGAAACAGATAGACGGAGAGACAAGTAGATAGACAGAAAGGTAGACGGATAAGGAGATAGATAGCTTGATAGCTAGACAGCATGACATCTAGATAGCTGGATAGCTAGATTAGGTGGATCGTGAATAAATAGATATATTGCTAAGAACGAAGGAAAAAGATGAATAGATGAGAACAGATATGACTAGGTTGGATTGGGTAGACTCATGGACTGACAGTGAGACTAAATAGATACAGATGGAGATAGACTATTTAATAGTACAGGGATTAAAAGGAAAGACAGTTTGATAGATAGCTAAATTGATAGCGCAAACAACCAACAAACGAAACATCACAGGCATGCCCTGCGCAAGAGAGGAGACGAAGAAGAGAACGAACATTATGGTTCTTATATGTTTGGTTCTTGCACCGAGCGGCTTCGGCCCCACCACTGGTATTGATATTGACGGCTTGTGTTTTTTCCAAGGGTCAAGGCGCATTAAGCCTTACTAGCGTTTAAGGCCAAATTGGGCAGCATGAGGCCGCCAACAATGCCATGATGGTTCAGGTGTGGTCCAGGTGGTTTGTGGGGTTATCACTCACATACCTTTCCCAGAAACAGGTCGAGCGAACCCATGACGTGTCTCCAGTTCAGTTTCGACTGTCTTGGTCTCTTTCAGATTGAGGACTGTCATCCCGTATGTTCTCAAAGAGGAGGCCTTGGTCCACCCATCCGGTGGTGTTTTGATAGAATATGTGCATGTTCTTTGGAGTTGGTACCCCTTGTTTGTGTTTTGAAGGGAACCCAAAAGGAAAACCACCCGGAAGCGCCGTTTCCAGGGCAGGCAGTATGACGTCTACCTCTCCCAATCGGGTCTTTCATCGCACTCAGCTTCTTCGCTGCACTGGCCTTGGCCA